GTTTGGATAAGTAAAGTCCACTATACTCTTGAGGGGGTAACTTGTGTCAAGCATCAAGAATTCAAGCGGAATTTCAACGTCAACAGTTTCATCGATCACTTGACCAAGTTTTCCATCTTTGACTTTGCTTATCAATACAGAAAAAGATTATGTGCCCCTATCAGTGCAAGAGCGTGTAGATAAATGCAATCTCATATTCTTAGCTAACCTATAAACTTTACATTACAATCACATTTGTGAGAATTGGTGGTAGCACCCACAATTTCCTCTCTCTACGCTATGAGTAGACCTGAAAGAATTTGGATAAAATCACCTCCGAGTATAGCTGTTTTCCCTCCGAATGGTTCATTTATGAAGTTATTATTAAAAAATCTTTCATGCCTTCAATAAATTATTCCTCTTTCATACCTTCAATAAATTTTTTATCATCGGTTAATAACCTCAATGCTTCACATTATTCCTTGAATGCATTATGTAGAACATTGTTAACTGTCCTCAAGTGCTTATAATTTGTACATCCTTGTTGGACATTTAATACTTCTCAAGTAGTATAACTCTCTAGTTTCTGTAAGCACGTATTGTAGTCTGCCTATTGACGGTCGTTGTTGCCTTTGAACTATTTCCACACTTTGTGGTTGTACATAAAATATTCTCGAAACTCTTTGCATACGTCAAATTTTATCCCACGTTATATTTTGTATTGAAAATCATCCAAGCTTCAAACATTGAGGATTTATCAATAATTTCTTCGACAACATCTTTTAGTTTTTGTTGGTGTCTAAAGGTTACGAATTTTAGCCTTGGGTTATAAAAATTCAATCTTAGTACTGATCAGTACCTTTGTTGTATATCAAAAGAGAGGATTATCCAAGAGGCTTCATATGCAGATACGTAATGACAATCAGAATACTTATTTGTTTCATAATACACCATAATATCAACAATGCCAAAGTTAGATTGGGTAACTGCAATAGTTACTTTATCTAGATCTTTATTTACATATTTAAAAAGATATTTGATTGAATTAGATTTATTTCAATGTTCAATGTTGTTTGATCTTGAAACCTTATCAAGAGTTGTGGGTTGTATGTCGCAACAATTCGATTATCCAACTCAATATTCTTTTTCATTATATTGTGGTGACCTCTAAGGTTCTTCTTTTGTATATCAGGTAGTTATTCCCATCAAACGATGTCTTATCAAGAAAATTTTTGGGAAAAAGTTTCATAAATTTATCATTCTCCATATATAGAGATCTAGGATCATTTATGCTACATGGATCATGCATCAATAATCGAGTTACGAACTCATAAAATCTAGGACATTTATCTTTATTATGAACCTCTACACATGTCACACGATCAATTGACTCAAGCGATTGAAGTTCATCCCTCTAGTGTAACCATATTAAGATATGTGCATTTATTTAACAAACTTAGATTTCCGATCTTGTAATTTTAATATAAAAAATCATGATTCTTCTCCGCCAGATTAATTTACATTAACGGAAATATATGATTTTAATTTCTATGATGCATTAATGTGATTCTTTCTCTCCTTGGCCCTTTGCACTAATTAAAAATTGACTCTTTTTTCTTGTATTATTAAAAGTGTGAAAACATAAATTAACAATCATATGATAAGAAATATAAATTTTACAATACATTAAAAATATACATTACGAATATAATATAATCAAAAGTTGAGAATTGGAAATGCAATTTGATAAAAGACACAATTGTTGACATCAAAATTGTGTCTGAAGTAATTGCAAATCTAAAACCAAGCTATTGAGTACAAAATAAATATGTTATCTCAACAACTTAAAAGTCTAATATATTTTACGTGCTTTAACAATTTATTTTCTAATCTTCTCATTTTTATAAAGTTTCATTGTAGTTTTAAAATAAGTTTTTTTAATCTTCTCATATTTTAATAAATATAATCAAACTGAATGCTTCGATTTAAATATATCATA